GTCTTACGAACTTTCGATAGTAGTTGGCTAACCCAAGGAACGACCGCAACTCAGTCAAGGTGCGGGGGTTCGGCCAATCTCTGATTGCTGCTATCTTTGCATCTTCCGGTGTGACCCCATCTCCATCAATCACATGTCCCAGGTATTGAACCTGACGATTAGCCCATTCACACTTCTTTGGGTTTAACTTGAGTTTGGCTTCTCTCAATTTATTAAGCACAAGTCGAAGGTGCTCAGCGTGCTCCTTTTCATCTTTGCTGAAAATCAAAATATCGTCTAAATAAATCACAACAAATTAATCGAGCCATTCACGAAAGAGTTCGTTCATTGTTCTTTGGAAAGTGGCAGGGGCATTTGTGAGACCAAAGGGCAGAACTACGAATTCGTAATGCCCATACCTCGTCCTGAAGGCAATCTTATGTTGGTCTTCCGGCTCAACCTCAATCTGATGGTAGCCGGATTTTATATCAATCTTTGAGAACACTTTGCTTCCCTGCACGCGATTCAGCAAATCGTCTATTTGCGGTAAGGGTTCAACATTCTTTATGGTGATGTCATTTAATCTCCTATAATCTATACACATGCGAACGCCGCCATCCTTTCTAGGCACAAAGAGCACAGGCGCACCATAGGGTGAGGAGCTAGGTCTTATCCAACCATTTTTCAACAACTCATCGAGTTGGGTTCGCAGTTCATCCAATTCCTGGGGCGACATACGATAGATAGGCCCCTTCGGGGGCGCGCTCCCTGGAGTGATATCCATGCAGTGGCGGATTGGTCTTTCCACCACACCGCTTGGGGCTTCAGCCACATCTGCACTCTTTCAGGATCCTCTCAATCTCTTGGGACCTGACTTCTTTCTTTGTTTCTCCTTCCTTTACTGGGCGCACATATGCAACAAAGACTTGGTCATACAAGTTATGTTTCTTAACATGGCGAGCAAACGCTGGGGCACTCATACAACAGTGAGTTAGGCTGCTTTCTTTTCCTGATTCATGGTAGAGGCGAATTTTTTTCTTACCTCCTTGCGGACTTGGGAGCCAACATTCATGTTCCCTTAACTTTAGATCCGCATGTGCAGCCTCACCCCAATCCATTCCTAGCAACACATCAAAGGGCAAGTTATCCTCCACCAAGAAGGTCAGAGAGTGGAGAACGCGTTTCACCTTCCCCTCTGCCTCTAGCCGAAAGTATACTTGTACTCCCTCGATGTATCGATCCATGACAGTTTCACTACTATTTGCCAACTTACTTACAATCGGCTCATCTAACTTCTTAACTTTAAGCCCAAGACGCAGTTTCTGCAAACCTCTTTTACTAATATAACTGCGTGTAGACCCGCTGTCTATCATACCNGCAGTTTCTGCAAACCTCTTTTACTAATATAACTGCGTGTAGACCCGCTGTCTATCATACCTCCTACTCTAACTCGATTTATTTCTAGATCTGCAATTATTAGCTGTCCTTTCTTTTTACGCATTTCAGTCCAAGCTTGGCGACGAGCGGCCAACTCATCACCCACGCCAGCGAGGGATCCATCTAGAGAGATGCATACGTTTGCCACCTCTGGACAGTGCACTAGATGGGGACTTCCTTCCTCTTCAGTTTCTGCCATAGGGGCCTTCAAATGGGAGGATTCTGATTTTTCAACATTCGAAGCCCCGGTACAGGCAACTGGCACCTCTACTGGTTGTTCCCTTTTGCCCCCCTATAGTCAGGGCAATAGGGGACAATGTGGTCGGGGTCCCCACATTTGAGGCATTGGTCGGCTTTCTTTGTTTCAGCCCATACCTTTTCTGTTATTCCCAACTCTTTCCAAGGCTCCCCTTCGGGTAGGCCTGGATGTGGTGGGTATGGCTTATCCCACTTGTTGTACCATGAGCCTCTTCCTCTACCCCAGGTGGAGTAAGACCCACGGCCACCGTGTGAGGGACCATTTCCCCTTCCTCCCACGTAGTGGCTTCCTTCACCACCACCCCTCTGGGTGCCGAATCCTCGTCCACCACGGTCGCGACCTCTTCCTCGCCCACATCCTCTTCCTTGACGCCCTCCCCCGCGGGCTGCAACAGCCGCGTAACTCCCCTCCTGAGCTACCGGTCTGTTGGGTTCATCGAGACCATAGTCTACCTGATCCCAGGAGATGGTCTCGACGCCTCCTTCTTCAAAGGTTAGAAGGAGATTGTCTTTCCCAGGGATAGACCCTGAGATGGTGCGGTTTTTTCAATGTCTTACCCGCTTGCAGATCCTTCCAGTAATGGCAATAATTTGCTTCAGCGAGGAAGCCGGCATGATCTATGGCGATCTTGCCGAACTTCTCATATGTCATCCCCTCTTCCTTGGTGCGGGGATAGAGTTGTGCTCGTAGAGGATCCGGGAGTGCTCGTGCCAAACTATTTAAGATTCGGGCTGGCGTTAATCCATGATAAGGGCATTGCAATAGTTCATCCATAGTTGCCTTTAACGCAGACGTACTCTTCCATTTCCTATCGGGGAGGCTGAGGATCAACATTTTTGTGCGCCTTGCCAGGTTCTTGTCCTCAAAATCTCTCTCTTATCGCTTTAAAAAAATCCTCAATACGGGTCTGTTGTGAATACTCTACCATAGAGCTGCATCCCGCCTCTTTTTGCAGCGAGATGGCGAAGCTCATGGCGTCGCCTCCCATGCACGAGGTTGCCATCAATACCCTGTCCCAGTAGGGAATTCGCTGTCCATACACATAAGTTTCAATTGTCGCCGCCCAGTGCAACACACTCTCTTCTTTCTTTCCATTGTAGGTCCATGGCAGTTTAAGCTTAATCTTGTTAGTCTGGCCGTGTTCCTGGGAAGGTTGACCCTTTGAATCCCCAATCTTCTTCTTTCCTTTCTTGTCATCATCGCCGTCGCCATCTCCATCTCCTTCGTCGCCTCCAACTCCCTTTACAATCTTCTCTACGACCTCCGGGGTGAAGACTTTATTAATATGTTCGTCCAAAGCCTGGATATAAGTTTGCACATGTTGGTCAACGTCCTTTGCTGACTTTTCTACGAAGTTATTCCAGACATTCTCAAATTCAACCCGATGTGTTTCTCCACGTTGCAAGGTCTGCCGCATTAATTCCATGTCTTGTCTCGTGTTGAGGACGGTCTCCCTGAGGAGTGCAAGTTGTGCTTCAGTTGCAGAGGGGTTTTCCTTTCGCGCTTCTAGAGCTTTCTGCAATTTATCCCCTTCTGCCTGCAATCTTTTCTTTTCTTCCACCTCTTGCCGTCTAGCGGCCAACAGCCTGCGATTTAGCTCAGCTCGTTTCTCTTCCAACATCAGGTTTCGTTCAACGGTGTCTTTAATAGTGGCCAACTTGGCGATGAACGTATCCCGTTCTTCATCAGATTCTTTTAACGGCTCGCTGGAGTAGTAGTACTGGCTACCCCAGTTCAACGGTTCAACGGGAAGGCGGGTCGTGGTATTGCTTTCCGATATGTCTTGGCGACATAAAATAAATACACATAAAATAGAATATTACATCAACATCTTGAGTTCAACGTCCCCGGGAAACCTATCTCCCTTTTTCGATTT